GAACAGCGGGCAGGAGTTCGGGGTCAACTTTTGATCTAAACTGGCAGTTGGCTGTGTCATGGCTGTGGCTTAGTGATGAGTCACACCTGTTCAGTTTGGAATGTTCAGAGTTGGCACCAGACAGATGTTGCCATGGCGATCAGCAGAGCTCTGCTGAGCTGTGGAGTTGATGGATACATTGGTTCTGGTACCAGGCAGGCGAAGCCCGCTTATAGGGCTTCAGTCAGAGCCCGGTTCTGGTTCTGGGCATCGGACCCAACCGGGTCAGGACTGGACTGGGGCCAGACCCACCCATGTCATACCTCGTCACGTAGGTCTTTTTTTCAGCTTTCAGCCAATGTGACCCGACATGCTCAAACCAATTACATTTGATCAGCGGGCCACAGAGCTCAGCCAGGTCCCTCCAGCTCTGCATCTCTCCCTCAGGTCCTCTCATAGGCGCGAGCCATAGCTAACATCAGCCCAAATATCAATTGGCTGACCTGCCGGGCCCCTTTTGAGGGCCCCAGGAAGCCAGCCCAAGGTTCCTGGACGGGCAGTGGGTGGCCCCCCTCAAAATGTCTTTAGAAATTTTCTAATTTATATACTGATCCCCAGGTCAATGTACGAGTGAGCTTTCTTGGATGTAGGCCTGGAAACTGGCCGTGTTTTGGGCCCATTTTTTGGCCTTCCCATTAATTTCCTATGAAATGGCGTGTTGCCTTTTTTCGCCGTTTATTCGAAAACGCCCAGGCTAATGAGAAAGAAAAATACAAGCATGTGTCCCGTGGTTGGTTCAAATGTGTGTGTCTTTTTTGTGCCTAATCCGTCAAACCGTGGGGGACTAGTCCCGTGCTGAAATTCGGGCATAAATGGCAGAACTATAAGTCGCGGAATAAATATGCACAATAGTAATAGGTGGGCCTGCCGCAGACAGGGGGCCCCTAATAAAGGAGAGAAATTCAAACATATCAGAGCTAAGGGTGACACACTTATCTATTTCCATAGAAATACATCTGTACTGACTTGGCTAACAGAAAGAAAGAAATCACTAAAAACAGATGTCTCTGCTGTCATCTAGCATTTAAATGCACCTTTCAAGGAGGAAAAGAGTGTAAAAATCACATTATTTAAGGAACTGATCACATTTGGTAGGTTGTCAGTGAAAATCTGTGTGAAATATTCCTGTTACTGTACATGTGTATTCTCATTCTACCCATTTGCTGGCCTGAAGCTGCACACACCGGTTTAAACACAGACATGAAGCCTTGCTTAGGCCTTGTTTTCAGACAGAACAATTAATGTATTTCTTTTGTGATTTTATCGGCCATTTGTCATGTGTGGCATTACTATTCATTCTTCTACACTCTCTATGGTGTGAAAGCAAATTCATATGACAGCTCTGCATCTTAAGGGTTCAGAGGTGGATGTATTTATCTATTTATGATTATTTATTGTTACAATAGAGGCTCCACATCAAAGAACTTAGATGAAAATGTCCAGCTGCTGTAGTGACTATTTATATCCACGGTGTTTGTGTATTTATTAAAGATGTGAGATGTTTGTGTCATCAATGTGTATGTTTTTATTCATTTTCTTTTATTTTTGGTCTTCTGTTTTTACTCTGTTGAAAGAAAGTAGAAGTTAAAAGCGTTTTTGTGGTTTTGGACTTTAACCTGAAAGGGATGATGGCAGGAGACGAGATTTTCCACCCGAGACCAGGAAGAATTAAGAACTTTTATTCCCATTACAAGGAAATCCTTGCAGTTTTCAGGGTATTTTTCTTCATATTCTGTTCACGTAAAGACTTTGATGGTTTGTAGGCCCTCAGCATCCTGAGCCCAAAGCAGCCAAACACTGAAAGCTCTAAAGAGACTTTAGGCAACACAACAGAAGTTTTTTTCCTTACTCCTTCTGAATACATAGGAACAAAACTCTAAGCGAGGGAATATCATTTTTATCCTTGAAAATGCAGCAGAACCAGAACCTGAAGATAAACAAAGTGAATGTGCTGCATTTGCAGTCTTTTCAGCATTAGCAATCAACGCCCCGAAAAGAGCCTAAACTGGGCCAACAAAGGGCCAGAACAGGGCTGAAAATAGCCCAGAAAGAGTGTCAAAACAGGGCAGAAGGAGTGGCCAGATCAAGGCATAAACAGGGCCAAAACAGGGCCGTTGCTAATGTAGCTGCACTGACACGACACTGAGTACACTTTGAGTCAGAGGAATAAACAGGACACACCTTGCCTCTGGAGAAACCTGTTGGGTCGATACTGCTCTGTCCCGCCCCCCCACTGAGCTCTCATAAGGAAACGTGTTACGGGAAAGCCTCATTTCCTGCTTCAGCTTGTCAGTCTGTCGTCTTTCGGAGCTCACAGATCGGTTCTGTTCAGGGGAAAGTTGAACTGTTTAACAGTTTCTGACAGCAGAAATGGCTCAGAAAGGAGTTCAGCTGGACACAGATAGCATTTCCTGTTCCATCTGCCTGGATATCCTGAAGGACCCGGTGACTATTCCCTGTGGACACAGCTACTGCATGAGTTGCATCAAAACCCACTTTGATGGAGAGGATCACAAGGGACTTCACAGCTGCCCTCAATGCAGGAAACGCTTCACACCGAGGCCCGTCCTGGTAAGAAACACCATGTTAGCAGCTTTAGTGGAGCAGCTGAAGAAGACTGGACTCCAGCCTGCTCCTGCTGACCACTGCTATGCTGGACCTGAAGATGTGGCCTGTGATGTCTGCTCTGGGAGAAAACTGAGAGCCATCAAGTCCTGTTTGAGCTGTGTGGCCTCTTACTGTAAGAAACACCTTCAGCCTCATTATGATGTGGCTTCGTTTAAGAAGCACAAGCTGGTGGAGCCCTCCAAGAAGCTCCAGGAGAACATCTGCTCTGTCCACGATGAGGTGAAGAAGCTGTTCTGCCGCACTGATCAGAAGTCCATCTGTTATCTCTGCTCTGTGGAGGAGCATAAAGGCCACCACACAGTGTCAGCGGCAGCAGAAAGGACTGAGAGGCAGAGAGAGCTGCGGCAACAAATCCAGCAGAGAATCCAGAACAAAAAGAAAGATGTGAAGCTGCTCCAGCAGGAGGTGGAGGCCATCGATCAGTCTGCTGACAAAAC